AAGTACCAAGTGTTTGACTCGGCCCCGAGGGGCCTCCTCCGGGTGGAGGAGCTGGAGGACCAGGGCCAGACGCTGGCCAACGTGTTCATCCTGCGGCTGCTGGAGAACGCGGACGACCGGGAGGCCACCTACATGCTGAAGGCGTCCTCTCAGTGAGTGCCGTGCGCCGCCAGCCGTGCCCCTGGGTCTCCCTCCCAGGTGGAGCAAGGCTCCGGGGCTCAGGACATGCCTGGTGGCCCACCGGCCGCCCAGACCCCAAGGGGAGGCTTTCTGCCAGGGGCTGCCGCCAGTCGGGGTGTCCCTCGGGGCCTCAGGCTCCAGGAGGGCCTCTCTTTCCTGATGACATGTAGAACCCTCGGGCCCTCGCTGACCAGTGCGCCACACCCTGGGCGGCCCGGGGCCGTCCATTCACCCGCCTGAGCAGCCAGGCCGCCTGCCCCGCAGCCCCGGGGCTCGGGGAGGGACAGCGGAGATCGGCGGGGGGAGAGGTTTTGTGAGCCCCGTGTGGTGCTCGGCTCTCCGTTCCCACAGGGCTCACAGGTCACCCACCCACCTCGGCCCAGTTGGTCCACTTGGACCAGTTGCCACCGCCCAGACAATGTGTCTGAGAGACTGCGGCTTTCAGGGGTGCCCCTGGGGTGGCACGCGTGTCAGGGAGATTCAGTAGGGCGCCCCGTGCCTCTCCGCTGGATGCTGGGCACCCCCAGCTGTCCTGCTGCGGTCTTGTGGGATGCCTGGCACCAGGCCCGGAGGGAAGTGAGGGGTGGTTTGCTCTGTGGCTTCGGCGATTGTCCTCCTCCATGTCCCAGGAGTGAGATGAAGCGTTGGATGACCTCACTGGCCCCCAACCGGAGAACCAAGTTTGTTTCCTTCACTTCCCGGCTGCTGGGTAAGTGCCCTCAGGGTGGAGGAAGCAGGTGGGGGGGGGGGGGCTCTCTGCCTCTGCTCCTCCGAGCCAGCCAGCCCAGAGGCCGCGTGGCTGCTTCCCCTGCTCCGAGGGCCTGTGCGCCAACCCCGATGGAGGACTTCGGTGTGACCGGGCTTCCCAAACGTGTGGATGGTTGATGAAACAAGTCCCTGAGTCTTAAGTGACAGGTGCCACGAAGAAACCAAGAGGAATGTGGGCCCAAAAGGCAAACACCAGTGCTCTCTGGGGTTGCCAGCCGTGAAGATCTTCTAGGATATAAAGGGGCGAGCCCACCTGCCTCACAGAGAAGCTGCTAGCCCTGCTGTGCTCTCCAGGGCCTGCCCCCCCAAAGCCTGCCCCCCAAACTGGCTCCCGGCACCACATCCCAGGCCTGACAAGTTGCTCCTGAAGTCCGAAAGAAGTCCCCCTCCCGGACTGCTCCTCCCTTTATCCGCATATCGTTTTCCTCCAGAGCCCCTGTTTTAACCGTGTTCTCTGTGGAGCCAGACCCTCCTGTCCCTTGAGCAGACCCTTTCCCGTTGCTGTGGGAACGTGAGGCGTAGGCGCACCTGCCCTGCTAGCCCCCGGGGTGGGGGGTGAGTGTGTGTGTCCAGGGCCTGCTGTGGATGGAGCAGGACGGGTGACCTGGTGATGAGGACGTGTCACCTCCCTCCTCCCTCCCTTCAGACTGTCCCCAGGTCCAGTGTGTGCACCCGTATGTGGCCCAGCAGCCGGACGAGCTGACACTGGAGCTGGCCGACATTCTGAACATTCTGGAAAAGACCGAAGATGGTGAGGCCGGGGGCTGGGCGCACCCCCACTCGTGCCACCCCCTCCCCGCCCCCAGGACCCTGTGCCAGTCTGAGGGAGAAGGTGGGGGCGTCAAAGCCCCATGTGCAGAAGCAGCCACCACGAGGCCCAGGCTCAGAGGCAGGCTGCCCAACAAGACGGTGGCACTGAGACACCACGTGGTCCGCTCGGATGCCTCTCCCTTTTGGGGGCAGCCTGGCTTCACTCTGAGCAGCAGACAGCTGCTGAGGGCTCAGGAATGGGTTCCAAAGTCCATACATTTGGGACACACCGGGTTCCTCCAGGAGGGTGTCAGGGCAGTGCTTTCCCAGCTTATGAGGGGAAAACACGATCTGAGCGTGTCCAGCGGCGGTTCGCCGAGCAGGTGCTCTCTGGAAGGGCCAGCCGGGCTCGTGCATCTTCCTCACCTCTATCCCAGCAGGGATGGGAGCCCTCAGCCCTCACCCCCACGGCCTGACCCTCCCCGACCCATCCCTACACAGGGTGGATCTTTGGCGAGCGTCTGCATGACCAGGAGAGAGGCTGGTTCCCCAGCTCCATGACTGAGGAGATCTTGAATCCCAAGATCCGGTCCCAGAACCTCAAGGAATGTTTCCGAGTCCACAAGATGGACGACCCTCAGCGCAGCCAGAACAAGGATCGCAGGAAGCTGGGCAGCCGAAATCGGCAATGACCCCGGGCCCGGGTCACCAGCTTGGCGGGAGGATGCGGGCGGGCCGCAGCAGCAGCAGCAGCAGCAGCAGCAGCGCCGGGCAGGCCAACCCCACGGACGGTGGAGGCCTCTGGGGGAAGGCAAGTGCCTGTGCAGGGGCCACCCCCGCCCCTCTCCCTGCCACGCGCTGAGTGCCCCTGTGTCTCGGCCCCCTCGCTTGCCAACTGGAGAAAGGGTGCCTACGTCTTTCCTCTGCTGCATTTATAAACGAGAAAGTCTATTTTAAACAGTATTTGCCACCTCTCCCCCTTGTCTCTGAGAGGGGGTGGAAGTGGACCAGCATGCTCCAGGGGCCTTCCCAGGCACTGGAAGAGTGTCCCTGGCCGAGGGCAGGCTGGAAGGATTGTCATGACCCCCCGCACTTGTCCTTCTCTACCCTGGAAGCCATTAGAATCCACCAGGCGTGCAGATGGATCGCCCTTGCCTGAGCTTGATGAGCAGCCCTTGGTCTCCGATTCAAAGGACTGAGAGACCAAACGCCTCTGTCTTCCCCCTCCCCAAGCCTCTGCCAGCCTCTGGCTGCACGGCCAGGCCCTGCTTCATGGCAGGCCTACCAGAGCTTGGCCGAGGGCCCATGCCACCTCTGGCTCCCTGACAAGCTGGATGTAACTTGTGTCTTCTGGCCCCTTCAGGAGCCCAGGTGTTGTGAGGAATGAATTGGTCACTGCATCCTGTATCGGTTTTGGTTCCGAGAAAAGCAAATATCATTTTTGGCTGCATTAAAAGAAGCATCATGTATAAAATAACGGAGGTGAAGGTCTGCTCTTTATTGCTCTGCTGCACACAGGAATGAGGTGTTTGGTTCTGGGCAGGGAAAGAGGAACTCCTTTCAAGGCCAGTGGAGGAGGCATGTCCTAAAGGAAGGGATTGAGGTGACTTCCAAGACAGGAAAAAGCAGCCAGGGTTAGGACCTCAGGTTGGAAAAAGATTTGGGCCTCTACTTATGGAAGGATTCCAGAAACAAGATGCTATTTGAAGGAGTTGGAGTGGAAGTGAGAACGCAGCTTTGGAAGACCATAGAGGACTATCAGAAAAATCAGTAGGTGGCAATCCCACAGGAGATCTAACATCAGGCATGGGGCTGGGGCTTCCTACCTGGCCAGTCACTTCCTACCTTGGGCACTTCTTCCCACTTTTGGTGCCAGCAAGTTACCCAAATGCGGTTCCTCCCCCAGCCCAAGCTACCTTCATGGATTCCTTACCCCCCACCCCTGACTCTGTCCTGGAGTGTGGACGTCTGGAATCAGACCCTTCCCAACCCTGCCTGCCTGAGACCACACTCTTTCTGCCAGGACACACTTTCCTCCATGCCAGAACAGGCCCTTCATTAGCCCAGGATTTAGATCAAATGGAACTTTGTAGCATCTTCTCACAGGCCACAACATGGCTTTTGGCATTCTTGAGACCTGAGACCCTTGGAGAATTGGATGGATTTCTGGAAGGTGCATACGTGTGCAACCCTCTGGTTCATCAGGGAGCGGCTGACTGACTGATGCTCATAGGGCGTCTGTGCTACACCCCCAGGGGGAGTACCCACACTTAAGTCTCTGAGGAGAGGGGGCCAGGGGAGAGGGGCCATTCCTGGCCCTATGCTGCTCTTGGGGGTGGGGGACCCTGGGACAAAGGGGAGGGGTGACCACTGGTCCTGGCCCTTGTCCAGTTAAGCGTTTTGAAGCTGGTGAACAGCATGCTGATTTGGATCAGCTGCTCTAACTAGGGCTTTGGTTACCAGAGGTTACGTGGAATGAAGTAATTTAAACAGTTTCGTGAGAACTGGTCAGTTTTAGAACAGTCCTTCATAAGTGGAAACTTCTAACCCTCATGTGTTTTGGGCCAGTGCCCATCTGGAGTATCCAGGAGGAGAAAACTGGTCTTAGCTGGAGCAGAAGTGATCAGGAGCTCAAGGAAGCTAAGGAGGCCAAAAGAGTCCCTAGAAACAGCAGTGAAATCAGAGGAGAAGGAGGAACAGCTTCCCTCCACCAGCACCCACACCTAGACCCAAGGGATCAAACCATCACTGGGGCGCAGACAGTCCCGCCTCTAGTCTTCTTTTCCACTGCAAAGAGATGTAGTTCTGCTTCTTCCCTGTCGTGCCGTGCCCGGAGCAGCTCAGCCACTATTTTAAATCTCAATTATAAAAGCGAGGCTTCCCAGGGAAGCCTGTGAAATAAAGGACGTGACCAAGAAAGGAGAGCCAGGGGCAAGCGGGGGGGTTGGAGGGAGGCTGCCTGGGACGGCGGCGGTGGGGGCGGCGGTGGGGCTGCTCCTGGGGCTGGGGGGGGGGGGAGTTCCCGGGGGCGCTGGAGGGACGGGCCTGGCGCTCCGAGCTGGCACATGGGGCTTGGCTGACCAAGTCAGACGACGGCCGCGCCCCCCAAATACCCCAGCGCCCTGCCCCCCCCCCCCCCCCCCCGCGGTCCGCGGCTCGGCGCAGCGGGCGGCCCCGGGGCGCTCGGGCACTGCGGGGGCGGGGGCGGCGAAGCCTGGGCCGCGGGCAGCCGAGCGGGGACCCCGCGCGCACGGGTGGGAGCCGCCCGCCCCGCTGGCCCACACACGCACGCGCGGACACACTGAGACACGGGGGCGCCCCCGGGGCTGCAGCCAGTCGCGCCGCGGCCGAGGCGCCGCCCCTTTATTCGCTTCAGGAGGCGGAAAACTTTCTCAGCGCGACGACCACGAGCGCCAGCACCACGCAGGTGGCCAGCAGGGCGGCGATGACGATGGCGGCGATGGCGCCGGGCCCCAGCGAGCCTGCGGAGGACGGAGGGCGGCTCAGCCCCGCGGCTCCGCAACCCCCGCCCCCCGCCGCCCCCCCAGGCTCCGCCCCCCCCACCCCCGGCCCGAGCCTGCCTCCCTAAGGCTCCGCGCCCCCCGGCCCGCCCCCCCAAGGCTCCGCGCCCCCCAACCTCTCCGCCCCGGCCGCCCCCCCAAGGCTCCGCGCCCCCCAACCCCTCCGCCCGCCGCCCCCCAAGGCTCCGCGCCCCCAACCTCTCCGCCCCGGCCGCCCCCCAGGATCCGCGCCCCCCAACCCCTCCGCCCGGCCGCCCCCCAAGGCTCCGCGCCCCCCACCTCTCCGCCCCGGCCCGCCCCCCAAGGCTCCGCGCCCCCCAACCCCTCCGCCCCGGCCCGCCCCCCAGGATCCGCGCCCCCCAAGGCTCCGCGCCCCCGGCCCGCCGCCCCCCAAGGCTCCGCGCCCCCCACCCCCAAGGCTCTGCCCCCCCCCCGTAACCCCACCCCCATCCGGGCCCGCCTCCCGCAGGTACCGCCGCCCTGGTCCAGACGCTCCCGCGCGGTGCTGTCCTCGGGGCTCGGCGTGGCGGTGGGGACCGGGGGCCCGGTGGCCGCGGGCTCCCGCGCGGGGCTGGTGCTCTCCACGGGGTCCTCTCCCGACGGCAGCTCGGCGGGCTCGTTCCACAGGGTGGGCGCGGGCTCCTGCGGGCCCTCGGCTGCAAGGCCAAGGACGGGCGCTGGGGGCAGGCGGCAGGGCCTACCGGGCCGTGGCCCCGCCCCTGGGGTCAGACCGCAGCGGCCTCCCGTTTCAGCCCCTACTTCGCCAGACTGCTCCCGAGCCCAAGCCGGTGAAGACAGACGGACGGGAGGCCGAGGGAGGGAGACGGGGACCAACAGAGTCTCCTAGAAAACAGCTGGGAAGACCCCGAGCCGCCGGCCGGCCGCAGAGCTTCAGGACCGTGGGCGGGCGCAGGGCCTCCACCTGGGATCCCTCCTCTGAACTGCCGGGCTCCATAGGCCTGGGTGACATGACCGATACTTGTGAGGGACCCTCCCCCTGCAAGGCAGACACAGGTCTGGAGACCAGAAGACCCTGGAGAGGCCAGAAGGGGGTGAGACGACTCTCCCCCCACAGGAACCAGGGTCCCTGCCTACCCAGAGCCCCAGGAAGTGGGGAAGAGAGGCAGACTCCTCCTCTGCTTCCCCGCCTTTGCCCTAACCTGGACAGAGCCACACAGCCCGCAGGACATGGGGCCCAGTGCGCACACATACCCCGTGTTCTGAGGCTTAAACCCCAAGGTGACTCTGTATCCTAAGAAACTGCAAGGCCAGGACATTGCTGCTTCCATACAGAACAGGGCCAGAGGGATGGGCAGGGGTGTCTGTGGTCAGTGAAAGGGAAGCCCCAGGAATGGGCCGATGCTCCCCCTGCCCCCACACAAGCTGGGGCTCAGTCAGCACATCAGTCCCTGTGCAGCATTCTCTGCAGAGGCCTTTCTCTGCTCCTGGGTTGGGAGTTAGCAAGGTTTAGAGCACCCGGGGGCTCCAGGGAACGGGGCAGGTTGAGACTGAGAGGCCTGTGTGACAACTGCAGCCCCATATCCCCACCTCCGCCATGCCAGCCCATGCCAATTTCACACACACACACACACACACACACACACACACACACACACTCACACACTCAAGGATCCTGGTCCAAGGAGTCCCACAGCACTACCCCAACCCTGGACCCATCTATCCTTCCCAGACAGGAGGCCCCAGCCACCCAGTTTAAGTTCAAGACCAGAATGGCAGGCAGTCTCTGGGCTCCCCACCCCAGCCCTGAACATCGGTTTTAGCAGGGTCAGGGCTGGCCAGTGCCTAATCTCAGTTGTGATCCAGAGACGCTGAGCCCCACGCAGTCCCTAGAATGGGTTCAGCAGGCACCATGACAGACATCATCTCTTTGACTCCAGCTGCTCGGTGCCTAGGAACTGTTGTATCCCTGCCTCAGAGTTGAGGAAACCAAGGCTTGTGGGGGGGGGTGCCTTTGAGGGGTGCTGCTGGGACTCCAAAACCCCTGGACAGTGAAGTAGCAGGAAACACTTCCCAAGAAACCATCAGGGAAGTTGTGTAGTTCATGCAGCCCCAGCCAGCCTGCCTGCAGGTCCCCAAGGCACCTTTTCCTCCAGAGGCTTCACCCCTGAGAGCTCCCTCTGGTACAGACAGGCCAGGGACAAGCTGCTTTCAGACTCAGGCTTGCAGAGAAAGGCTGCTCTCCGGGAAGACACAGAGGTGCCTTTGGGTCTTTGCTGCTAACAGTGCCCACCTGGGGCAAATCACGAGGAAACATGAGCCAAATTCAGGGTCAGTCTTAAAATAACCATGCTTTCAAAAACATCCAGGTCATGAAAGACAAAGAAAGGCTGAAGAGCTTTTCCAGATTAGAGACCAAGGAGGTTGAATGCAGCATGTATTCCTGGATGAGGGGTCCTACGGGGTTTACTGAGGAAGAATGAATATACTTAGAGAACAGTACTGTATCGATGTCTGTGTCCTCATTTGGATAACTGACTCGTTATGTAAGAAAACATCCTTGTTCTTAGAAGCATTTAGGGCCAAAAAGGCATGATGTCTACAACTTACTCTCAAATGGTCAACATTCAGAAAAGTCAACTGGGTAGATGAGAGACAGGAAGAAAAGCAAATATGGCAAAAGTGAATCTAAGAATCTACTGGAGTTCACTGGGTTATTCTTGAAACTTTGATGTAAATTTAAAAGCTCTTTACAATCATACTGTACAGGTCTCCCCAGGCCCTGCCCCTGCAGCCTCTCTCAGGCCTGGGCTAGATCCGGTCTAGGCTCAGCTTGCAGGCAGGGACCACTGTTCTGTTCCCCAAGGGTTACCTGAGCTGACATCCCTTTTCAGGAAATACCCTGGCAAAGCAGATCTCCCAGGGGCAAAAGGTCCCTGGGATACAGTGTGAGGGAAGCTTCTCACTGGCAGGGCCTGAGGCTGAACCAAAATGCTGGTGTCTAGAGGCTGCCTTGACCCCCTACCAACTATGAAGACCACCCCATGAAGGTGAGAGAGTAACCCTGTCAGGCCCCCGTTGTCACTGCCTGGGAGGGGGGTGGGGGGGGTCTACAAGCCTTGTGGCTGCTATGGAAAGTGCCGGGCCCCAGACATGCTTGCCTCAGGCTCCTAGGAGCTGAGCCAGAGAAAAAGCCTGGGTATGCCCATTACTAGGCTCTGAGGTCTGGGGTTCGTAGACTGCCTGTCTTTCCAGGTAAATGGACAAACCATTGGCTCCCACTTGCTCCTCGTATACCCATGGCAGGAAGGCTACCACAGGGCTCCTGGGTACCAGGCCCAGCCAACCTGAGTAGTATTTGGGGGGAATCAGCTACCTGGAGCTAGCAGGGCCCAGGTAAGCATCTCCTTCTGCCTGTTGCCAGAGCCCAAGAGCCATCTTGGGGAGAGAGGCCCTCTGACCAGGGCAGTTGGAGCACACTCAGGCCTACTCCCCTTCTGGGAGACCGATGACCCACCCTTATTCTGCTGCTCCCCACAGAAGCCGGGTCCTCCCTGCCAAACACACTGGCTCAGGCCACCTTATCCCTGCCGTGTGTACCCACTGCAACCCCTCCTCCAACACCAAACCAGTCCCTAAAGCTTGAGGGGCTGAACCCATGGGCTTCCAAACCAAAAGGGCAGGGTCCAAAGCCTCTGTTGCAACGTCACCCTGGGACCCCGGGAGACTGACTTCCCTCCCCACTCCCTGACTTCACTTCCCAATCTGTGAAATGGGAGTTGGACCGTGCCTCTCCTTGGCCTACACAAGTAGTAACTGTGTTGGCATTGCCATTGTCAGCTGCTGCCTTGGCCCCAGGGCCCCTCTGGCCGGATACAAGCCAGGTAGATCTGTGTGCTGTACCTCTGTTGCAGCTGACCATCACGGGACACCCCCAGAGGCCTGCCAGCATCTGCATAGGCTCAGAACTGCAGCCTGGACTCAGCCACCAGCCTTCTCGTAAAGGAGGTGCAGGTGCCAGGAAGAGGCCAGAGCCTTTTCTTATCCTCATCTACATGTCTGTATTTTCTCAATTTGCTATAATAAAAGGAGAAAACAAAGTTGAAAGGCAATAACCCACCTTCCCCCACCCCGCCCCCCGCCCCATTGTATCTTGGAGAGCCCTAAACAGAAGCAGCTGTCAGGGAGTTTGCTGGAAGGAGGGCCCATCTAAAGAGTGGAGATGGGGATCCCTGAGTGGCGCAGCGGTTTAGTGCCTGCCTTTGGCCCAGGGCGCGATCCTGGAGACCCGGGATCGAATCCCATGTCGGGCTCCCGGTGCATGGAGCCTGCTTCTCCCTCTGCCTATGTCTCTGCCTCTCTCTCTCTCTGTGTGACTATCATAAATAAAAATAAAAAAAAAATAAAGAGTGGAGATGAGGGAAACAAAGCCAGGCAGAGGGACCAACACAAGCAAAGTCATGGAGGAGAGAGTCCCAGGTATGGAAGGTGAGCTGTGAGCCCCAATGGGATATTAAGTGAGAACAGAGAGACGGGTAGGACCAAGGGGGGGACCTGTGATAGACCAGGGTTAGCAACGTCCTGTAACTCTGACCAAGGAAACCAGGAGAAGCGGGGGGCCTCGTGACCCTGCCACAAGCCCGGGCACAGTGGGTTCTTCCCTGGTCCCACCGCCTCCAGCCGCCCTGCCTTTCGGTAAATAGGTTTGTTTAACACTCGCTCTGACCACAGGGCCGTGAGGCCAGGCACCCAAGCTCACAGACAGCCTTTGTGCCAGCCATGAAGGGCCTTTTCATCGCTGCCCTGGCCTCCCGCCTGCTCAACCTGGCCTGCTCCCCCTGCCCCACTAGCTGCAGCCACAGGCAACCGACAGGGAGGCCAGGAGGCTGGACCTGGACCTCAGCCACAGAGCCACTCCTTCCCTGCATGCCTGCTGCAGGACCCCAGCCCACCAAGCAAAGGGCAGGGGGCCTCCTAGGCCTTGTACACACCTGCTCAGAGCTTCTAGCCCAGAGTGGGGTAGCTGAGAACCTCCCAAACATCCTCCCTCACAGAACGGCAGGAAGAACAACAGCCAGCCAAAACCCCAAAGACTCCGGGGTGGAGTTGGCCTGCCTGTTCTTGGTAGGACACGTGGAGGGAGGTGAGGCCAGGTGAGGTCCTAGAGATGCCAAACACGTCCCCAAACATTCCTGTGGCAGCAGACAAAGCCCACCCACCCAGCCTGTGTATGCACAGCCTGATCCAGGGCTTCTGGCCAGTATCCTAGGCAGGGAGAGCTGGCTACTCAGGGAACAAGAAAGTGGACAGGAGCTCCCCAGGCAGCCCCAGAACCTGGGCAGGCAGGCGCCAGCACCTTCACCTCTACCCACTTTGACCACTGGGCAGGGGCTGGGTGGGTGTGGAGGATTTACAAGGACCACAGTCCCAAGGTCTAGTCCATAGAAGATGCCACCCTACATTCAGGTCACTCTCCCAGTTCCTGGGGCATCACACAAGCCCGTCTTGCCCAACTGGTTCATCTCCCATATAAAGGGAGGCTGGGCACCTTCTCAGCCTACACGAGGAGGTGTTTTTGTTCCAAGACCACCCTGCACCCAGAGGAAGGGCTGGGGACATTTAGTCATGTCTCCAACATTTACTGGGTGCTACAGGAGGCCTGGCCCATCCTGAAAGCTCTTATGTTTGAATTTGGTAGTCCTATGGTCCCCTGCAAGGGAGGCAGAGCTACTGACTGCAGTTATCACCGTGATACAGATGAGATGTACAGAGAAGCTGAGAAACAGCTGGTAAACACAGCCAGAAGCAAAGCCAGGCTTCTTCCTAGGGCATCTAGAGGGGCCTGCATGCCCACAAGCAACTCACCATCACCCATTTCTCCCTGGTGTGTGGGCCTGAGTGTGTGGCTGTCCCACTAGGCCTCACACCCCCCAGCAACTCTCCCCCGCGCCATGCTCAGGTGGCTGGCATCCACTTGCCACCCTGATAGATCCACAGACATTCCCCCAAAGCCTATGCTGCAGAGAAGGTCTCCCAGGGTCTCCTACCCACACCTTTCTCCAGCCCAGGACCCCCTCCCACCCACCGCCTTACACACAGGGGCCCTGAAATATTTCTATTTTGGCTCTCCTCATGGCCAACAGAGATTGCTTTCTTCCAGGACGAAGACCATTCAGGACCTGTCTGTGCTATTTCTCTCTTGAGCTTTGAAGCTGGATGGGGCCAGCCTCTCCCAGCAGAGGGCCCTAGCACCATGCCCCAGGTCCAGGGAGCCTGCCACCGCAAGGTTAAGTCCAGTGTCCTCATCATGATTTTGCCAAGGAGTCTCAGGCCCTTGCTCTTTCTGGAATTTCTCATGGGCTGGGAATAGTAACTGAGTCCTCACTCTGGAAGGACATTTCATAAAGCCAGCAGAGAAGGGCTTGCAGGGTTGAAAAGTAAAACAACAGAGCTCTGTAGTTTCTGCCTAGGAGCCTGGGGCCTCTGGTCCTTCAGCCGCTTGCCTTGTGCCTGATGCCTGCTCCTGACTCCCAGGTCTGAAACCTTCAGATTTTAGCATGCTGGGGTAATCCCCACGTCCCCCAGGCAGCTAACGTCCCTGGCCTTGCTCCGTAAATCACCCCCCTGCTTCACGGGCCATCGTCCCCATGGCTAGCAATTCCCAGGACATCGACTCGGCTCCTGGCAGCCTATCCATAGGAGCCCTCCACAGAATCGCCCCAAACAGCTGCCCCATCTCCTATGAAGGGCCTCTGCCCAGTAGGCAATGGAGAATGTGGCCCAAGGTGCTTCTTGGCCCTGGGCGGCTGGTGGCAGCAGAGTCAAGGGAGCACCCTTACCTGTGAGCACTGCGGGGGCCAGGACCCCGGGGAGGAGCAGCAGGGCCATGCGTAGGGCCAGACAGAATGCCATCCTGGCCTGTGAGGGTGCGCAGCTGGAGAGCAGGGTGCACTGACGACTGAGCTAGTTAACTTCAGAGCGGCGGGAAAGAGCTATCAAAGGGCTGGGAAGGGTTTTCATCAATGCAAACTCTGTCCTCCTGGGACACCGTGCCCGCCCCCCACACATCAGCGCGCGCGCACACACACACACACACACACACACACACACACACAGAGCAAAGCTTACAGAACCGACTGCTTTCCTGAACTCCAAAGTAGCCCCACCCTCAGAGAGGGGGAAAGAAAGAGGAAATTTCTCTCTTTTCCTCTCTCCCTCCCCACAGCCCTCCTTCCCTCTCTGTCTCTCTCTCTCACACATACACACACACACATACTCAACCACTGGAAGAAAGATTCTCAAACTTCAGTGTGCAAAAGACTCACCCAGTTACTTGGAAAATGCAGATGCCTCCAGCACTCTGTTTCAGGGGGTCATGGGTAGGCCCTGGGATCTGCATTTTAGTGCCTGTGGCCCTGGCTTGAGAGACTGAAGCCCAGGCAGTCAGCACTGCACAGAGTCAGCTCACTCTTGGGCTCCGACGCCTGGTGGGGAGACAGCACTCGTCAGGGCTTGTGAAAGAAGCACTTTTAACGCAGTTTCAATCCAAACCCTCAGTAGCTCTAGTCTTTCCAGAAAAGTTCATGTCGTTAAACTTTGCCTTGTTTCTTCTTCTTGCTCTCTGTTCTCTCAGGTGTCTGAGACTTGAAACACCACCTGTGTGCTCCTGGCATCTGTGCCCACCCTGGGTGTGGTGCAGAACTTCAGCCGGACCACCCACGGCCTCCCCAAAAGCTCCATGGGTATCTAAAAAGTATATGTAATTTAACGTGTCCAAACCAACCCTGACTCCAGTGCCTCTCCAGTCCTGCTCAGTCAGTGGAACCCAGCTCCAGATCTTCCCAGATGTCCTAGCCACATAATTAAAAGTTATCAAAGGCTTTTCTCTCCCTTACTCCTGTCTAATCTCTCAGAAAGTACTGCCAGCACCCCTTACCTCACACCCTTCATGCTTTCTCCCTGGCCTTAGAAAAGTCACCTTAAAGGCTTCCCTTGGCCTTGCTTGCTATTCTAGTCCACTGGCCTTGACTAGGTTCCTCCAACACAGCAAACGTGGCCCTGTCACAGTGCCTTTGCACTTGCCATCCCATCTCCCAAAAGGCAGTCCCTCAGCTCAGTATGTACCTATCTCATCACCATTCAAGTCCTAATGAGTCAGCCTCCCATCTACCCATCACATCATTTAATTTCTTTCTAGCACTTACATATACATAAGATTCTCATTTCTTTCACCATTTTTTTTGGTGAATTTTCTGAGGAATAACATATATACTGTGAAATGCACAAATCTTATGTTTACAGTTTGAGGAACTTTTATGAATGTATACACCAGGGCAAACAGCCTAATCAATATCGAACATTTCCAGCACATCAGTAGCATCCTTCCTGTGTCCACCCATCAGTACCTCCAAAGCACGATTCTGTCTTCTGTCACTATAGTTGAGTTTTGTCTATTCCTGAACTTCAAATAAATGGAATCATAGGGTATGAACTTGTTTCACTGGCTTTTTTGTTGTCCGAGATTCTGTGAGATTCATATACATTGCTGCATGTAGCAGCTTTTTTGTTTTTATTGAATAGTAGTATTAGGTTATATGAATATGTCACAACTTAACCATGCTTCTATCCATTTTGCCATTTACCTGTGTCTATTTGGGTTATTTCCAGGTCTGAACTTCTATGAATACAGCTCCTATAAATATGCTTGTACATGTCTTTTGGTGAAAATACACGCTAACTTCTCTTGGTTATAAACCTAATGACAGAGTTGCTAGGTCGGAGGGTAGGTAGTGTTTAGCTTCTGCAGATGTTGCTGAGCACTATTCCAAAGTGTTCCAGTTTATACTCTTATGAGTACTGTAAGCAGTTGCTCCACATCCTCACCCATACCTGGCAATGCCAGTCTTTTGTTTTCTAGTCATTTTGATAGGTATATAATGGTGCCTCATTGTGGTTGCATTTCCATGACTAACAACACAGTTGAGCACCTTTTCATATTCAGCGACCAAAGGAGTATCCTCTTTTGTGAATGGTCTGTTCAATTTTCATTGCCATTTATTAGAGTGGTCTATCTTTTTACATTTATTTTTGTTTGGGTTGTGTGTGTATCCAAAATAAAAATCTTTTGTCAGATAGAGGTAATATTGCCATTAGATGAAGTGTTTATAGTATGCCTATCTCCACTATGTGACTATAAATCCCAGGACGGCAAGGACTGTATTTTGTTCACCAAAGCATCTCTAGAACCTAGCACCACCATGCCCAGCATGCAACAGGAACTCAGTATTTGGATTCAATCCATTGGGATTTCTGGGATGGAGTTAACATTGAGCATCTTTTCACTTGCTTATTCATGTATGTTGCCTTATTACTCCCCAGGCTCCCATCCTCAACTTTTTGTGCCCTGCAATGTAATGAAGCAGCATAATGTAGTCAGATAACTACAGTTTCAAAATGACAGTTTTCAATGACACTTGAAACTTCCTTTCTAGCTGACTTCCTGTTAGCACCTGCTAATGGGAGGCACTTGTGAGATACAAGGTCGGATGGGAGAAGTGACACTCTCTGACAGCTCTAAGAACATCAGGGACTCAGGTTAGGTGATGGTGGCTTTGGGGGCAGCCACATAAAGTTGGAAGTACAGGTTCTGGGTCCTTGCGAGGCAGCTGAAATCCAATTCCAGGAGCATTAGTTAAAAGTGCTGTGGCCTCTGAGGAATCTTTCTTCAGCCCTGGCTGATGTCGGTTGTCTAGGTGCAGTTGTCAACTTATAAGTAAACTTCCCTTCCCTTTTCCCTTTTCTACTCCTTCAGTCCTTTAGACATCCTTAAAATATATCCCTGCATTAAATATCTTCTGTCTGAAATACCTAGAGTGAATCCTGTTTCCAAGTCAGATCCTAATACAGAGCTTTGCACCTGGAATGATCCTGAGAAACAGGCCCTCAAAGATGTGTTTCTGAGTTTGGCTTGCCACCATGTTTGAGTTTGAATGCACAGAAGACCTGATTGCCAGTAGAAAATCTGATCTGGTAACATGTGGCATGCCATATGTTAAGACTCATGTGGTTGTTTTGCATGAAGTGCCTACTGAAGGCAAGGCTTAAAAGATCAAGTAGATACTGTACTTGATGTTTATAGAGGTGATGATGATATGATCAATAGGACAGTGAAATGAATTGGCTACTGTTTTACTGTAGTGGGTGTTCACAGAAAATGACAAGTTCAGGCTTTAAATTTGAAAGCCAAGTCATGATCAAGAACTAGAACCCTTTTGTGACAGTCTTTAAAAAATATCTTTTTTTCAGGGCACCTGGGTGGCTCAGTGTTTGAGAATATCCCTTTGGCTCAGGTCATTATCCTGAGGTCCTGAGATTGAGTCCTACAGACTTCCTCACAGGGAGCCTGCTTCTCCCTCCGCCTATGTCTCTGCCTCTCTGTCTCTCATGAATAAATAAAATCTTTTTTAAAACCTTATTTCTTGTGGATACAGGGCATAACTGGCTACAGATCAGGCCCCAAATCTGTGTGAATTGCAGAACTACAGTCTTGAATTCACAGCTGTGTCAATTCTCTCAGGTGAAACCTATAGCACTGATTGGACAGGAGCGAGACCTTGAGATTTGGAATGGGGATATTTGGGTAGACTCAAATTTGAGACTCTTCCACTCATAAATCTTCAGGCTTCCTTGCAGAAGCAGATTTAGAAAAATGGCTAATTCCAAATCTGGGAAAGGAGAAGTAGGTGATGAGTCTAGAATATCTCATGAAGAAAGAAGTGCTCAAAAAATGAGGGAGAGCCAAGTTGGAGGTGCACCAAATGAACAATCTATGCATGAAAAATACTATCAGGATTCTAACCTATAGTGTATGCACAGGCATGCATGGGTATGTGCATACACGTGTGTGTGTGCATGAAAAGCTCTTCCTTGTAACAGAGTGCTAATAAGTATAAAAGGAAAATATGGCAAGTATTCATTGTTCAAGCAAGAATAAATGGCTGCTTAAACTAGTGAATAAAAGTTTGATGAGGAGGGGTGCCTGGGTAGCTCAGTAGGCTAAGTGTCTGCCTTTAGCTCAAGTCCTGGGATTGAACATTGGGCTCCCTGCTCAGCTGAGAGCCTGCTTCTCCCTCTCCCTCTGCTCCTCCTCCTTTCTCATGCGCATGCTCTCTCTTAAATAAATTCATTCATTCTTTCTTTCTTTCTTCCTTTTTTTAAAAGTTTGATGAGGAATTGAATATTTACAAAGTCTCATAGTATCTCCCATAAAAAAATCCTTTCAGTGGAGAAACCAGGCAGACACCACCTTAATCAAGGGATTAGAATTAACATCACCAGTAATGGTTCAAACCAACATCATCATATGTTATGACGCGTTGAGGACGTAACATCATTTCTGTATTATTCCTGCCCAATTGCATAATCTCAACCAAATCCTGAGAAAACACACCAGACAAACACAAATTGGGGCATTCAACAAAACAATTGTCCTACATCCTTAATGTCCAGATAAGACAAAGACAGACAGAGGAACCATTCCAGATTAGAGAAGACTCAAGAACATGCCGACTAAATACAGAAAGTGATCATGGATAGCATACTGCACCTTTTTGTTTTCTCCTTATAAAAGATATTAGCAGAACAATTGGTGAAATATGAATGAAACCTAAATATTAATTAATAGCATTATATAATTTATTTCCTAATTTTAATAATTACACTGTGGTTATATAAGAAAATGTCCTTGTTTCAAGGAAACACCCTGAAATGTTTAGGGGTAAGGGACATGTCTGCAGCTTGCTTCCAAATGGTTCATAAATAAATACAGAGAGTCATCATTAAGAAAAACGGATTATCCTGAAAAACTGATAAAGCAGATACGGTAAGACGTTAGCAGTTCGGAGTGAAAATCACTTTGGAGTTCTTTCCACTCTTCTTCCAAGTTCTAAGTCTTGAATTACTCAAAATAAGGTCTCCCTTTCCTCCCAAGGGTCACTATTTTTCAATGACAAATGATGCAATAATAGGATCTAGACAATGACCATTGAGGAATGTTAAAACTGCTATATGAATGGTCAACAACAGACCGGTTATAATGGGTGAGTCAACTCTACAGCCATGGGACAGACTGATGAATTCTGACATTAAGGAAAATATGGGACAGCCAGACAAAACTACTTGCTGACATGACTGATGGGATGCAACAGGATGTACACCATGCCAGCAATTAAGTATTCCTTGAAGGGAAAGGGAGAATCTGAATGTAGTCAAGCCTCTAGATCTGACTCCTAATATACAGAAAATGTGAGAGAGATGAGTTAATTGATACTATAAAGGATGCTGCTTGCTGAATCCAATATAGGATGTTCCATGGATAAATGATTCCACTTTTTCAATTTCATTTTTGAGGAGGAACTGGATTGCACCAAATGAACTTCATTTTGATTTTGGTTCAAACTTTTAAAAAAGACACCTTTAGGACAAT